GGGGGTGGGGTGAGGGGGGTGGGCACAAGGGGTGAAGGGAGTCATATATATGGTGATGGACAAACAAAAATGTACAACCCAAAATTTCACAATGTTAGAAACCATTAAAACATCAATAAAAAAAAAAAAAAGATACCTAATTTAGTCACAGCTATAGGAAGCATTAACTCTTGTAGGACCAAAGAAATGGGACAGAATGTGCTGAAAAGACATGCTGTGAATCTCACAAAATTTTAAATTAGCTGAATGTATGTGTTGTACCTATACTATTTTCCTGTAAAATAGTAAGCTAAGCAGAATTACTAGCCAAATTTTGGGAACAAGTGAAAACTGCAAATAAAAACCATCATGTTGACAATTTACTCTCCCTACCAAAACAAATGTGAATATATTCATTACTTTCCATAAATTTCTCTAGGTGAAAATAATTTTAAAAAGAGATAAAAACACATTTGTTCCAAGTAACAATACACAAAAGATGAATTTATTTCTTACTATTTATACCTTATTTAATCTGATTATGTTCACATCAGTAACTCTAAATAGCCTAAGTAAACAGACATCTATAAAACTTACTCCATTGGCTCTACTAACAGCTTGGAAATAAATTCTGTAGCTTTTATGGGGGAGAAGGAGAGTGTTCTAGTATCCACTGTACGTCGTTTTATCACCAATAGTAAAAGGCTGAGCAGCGTGGAGGCTGTTTGCTGGGAATTCTGCAGCAAAGTAGTACTCTGAGTTCAGTATTGAAGCATTCTGGAAGTGAATTGGCACTGGGTAGCACTTTAAGATTTCTGTTGTCGTTTTGATCCTTCAAGTACTTTCTTCTTCAACAACTATTTGGTAGACATTAGAAGAAAAACGAGTATCATCAGTGATATTTTATGATAACTGAGCTGATCCCCTTTGCCTTCAATTGTATGGACCCACAGGTTATCCAAAATAAAGAATACCCTGAATTGGTACATAATGGACACACACTCAACACTTGCTCAATGTAAGAGAAGGAAAGTGCTTAACGTTCTTCCACAGAACTCTCTCACCCTGAAGAATACAAATTTATTGAGGGAAACAAAATTCAGCATAATTTTTAAAAATTTTATATAACAATCTCTGCTACTTATATGAGCAGGACACTAAAATAATGTTTTTCTCACATGTAACTGAAGATGAATTTGTAGACAATTCACTCAGTTTACCTAATAATTGAAATTATATTAACTGTAAGTTTATTAAAAAAGGTAATGTATTATTTTCTTAAATGACATCTGTACGAATGCATGTCAAGTTTTAACAAGTCACAAAACACACTGTGTAATGATTCATGTTAACTAAGGTTTGACTTCCCATATTTTCTTAGATTCCTTAGCCCTTCACCATATTTAAGCAGTGGGAAGAATTGACATTAGAAAAGCAGAGAAAAGGGATTGGAATTTCAAAAGCCAAGGCCTTGGAGTTACAAGTGGTTTCTAAGAATAAATCATGAATAGGGCCGCTTGAATTACACATAAAGATAAGACAGGAATGAGCATCCTCTGAAGATGCCCGCGAGGATAGATGTCTCCACGGAGGAGTGGGTCTCCCAGCACCTACCTACCTTTCCCTCCCCACCTCCTTCCATGTCTTTGAATTTTGAAGTAACCTTAGAAGAATGGGAGACACCTTGAAGGGATGGACATTTTTTTATTAAGATATATACATTTACTAGAATGATGAACATTTGTGAGTTTTTTTAGAAAAAAAAGTTTCTAATACTGAGAAAAACGACATCTTGACAACAGCTTTCAAAAACTGAATCCAGATCAGATTGAAAGTCTTTCTGGCAAGGAGATGTACTTTTTTCTTCCATGTCAGGAGAGCACCGTGACTCCCCAGAAGAGTGCTATAATCCTAGAGTCGCTCAGTACAGGTACTCACTAATGCTGAGGAAAAAGAACAGAAGAGAGGTGCCTACCACCGCCAGCTGCCTGGGGAAGGCCTGGAGAGGGCCCTCTGCGGGCTCCTGCCCATGTGAACTCTGAATCTGCACTCAGTGAAATCACCATCTCTGGAAGTACAACCACTTAGCACATTCTGTTACAGTCGTGCAGCGCAGCTGCCATTCAGTTTGTGATTCCGTCTAAACAAAGGTCAACTGTTGCAGAACATCAGGATGATTGCTTGGTAGACAGGTAGTCCAGCAGGTTTACAGTGTAATGGTAAAGTGAATTCTGAGCAGTGATATTAAAAGCAAAAAAGAAAAGAATTACAACTCTTACTTCCTAACATAAGAGACTTTCTGTTGGTCATGTAAGATGCTCCACCAAATCTGACAGAATTGGCACTGCGTGATGGATCCAACATGAAATGAAGTGTGTAGGAGGAATCTTCCTACAGGGAGGACAAGGAACACGTATAGAGGTGAAGTGGACTTTGATTTCTCACCCCTTCTCCCTGACTTCTTACATCTGCAGTCAGATGTGGCCATTTAAAAATATTTCTGCATATTCTTCGACACTTCTCCCATCAAGAATTGTGTTGGCCAACCTTAATGACCACCTGCGACCAACAGAATGTAACAGAGGGACAATGTGTAACTCTCAAGGCTTCAGTCACAGAAGGCCATGCATCTTCAGCCTGGTTCCCCAGGGAAGCTAGCTAGCTCTGGAGAAGAAGCCAGCCACCACGTACGTGGTCCAATGACCCTGAACCTGCCAGGCTGGAGACGCCACGTGCTCTGCTCTGCAGTCCCAAAGAGCTCCCAGTTGACAGTGGGAGCCACAGACATGGCTGTTTTTCACTGACAGCCATGTGTGTGGGCCATCTTGGAAGGCCACACAGCTGAGCCTTCAGATGATGGCAGCCCTGGGAGACCCCAAGCAGGAACTGCCCAGCCAAAGCCTTTGCTAGCCCAAAAAATCAAGGCAAAATAGAAAGGTTGTTTTAAGCTGCTAAATTCTGAGTAATTGGATATGCAGCAAATATTAATGAGAATATCAGGTCATAGAATAGCAAGAGTAAAGGGTAAAGGTCAAAGTAAAAGATTGTAGCATAACCACAGATGACAAGTGACCCATGAAGTTTAATCCAGCATGCCATTAAATACAAACAGCATTGAGAAAGTGTGGCTGTTCTCTTGAAATACCTTTTGTAGGGGCGGGGGACGATGGCATGTGCCTTGATCTAGGCTTTAATCCGAATTCTGCTAACAACTAAGGTTTTAAGTTAATTCCTTTGGGTCTTATTTTTTCCTCTGGATCTCTAACGTGCATTTTATATTTTTTATTCAGAATTTTTATTCAGCATACAAGAACTACTCTCACAAAATGGATAAATCAAAGGAATAATTAATTGCTGTGCAAAGGGATTCTCCATTAAATAAAATAATTTTTAACATTGGTTTCCTTCTATCAGTCAGCTTTTCCAATTTATTTGCTATATGACATGATTTTCAAAATTTCACTTTAAAAACAACTTCTGGGAAACCATATACTAGACAAAGTGGAAATATGAAAATACATATGAAGAAAAAAGATTTGCAGAAATTATCCCATACAGGAAGTGCTAGGCCAGATGCCTTGCACATCTAGGTTTTGTTTTCCCATTTTACTGATCAGAGAACTGAGGTTCGGAGGTGAGGTGCCCATTCTATCTGGGGCACACAGCTAATTACGTAGCAGACGTGGTCTCTTAACCATCAGACAAGACAGTACTAGCACTACCTGTTAAAAAGTCCTGGGTAAGGCACTCATGTGAAATGTTTGCCCCATGGGCATCTTTACTTGCTCATGCAGCCACAACCTACACACAAACCAGTCCCTGTCTACTTCCCATCATCAATTTATTTTGAGTATCGTGTAGAGATTCTTTCTCATGTATCACATCAAGGGAGCTACAGATGGTAATTATACCTTTGACCTCAATTCCTTCTCCCATCTGTACCCGTGTCACTAATGATTTCCAGGGAGGACACTCTCCTGGAACTCTGCAGTAATGCCACCACCTGGCTGGTGTCCTCTGCAACTCTTGATCCCTCCCAGGAACCTCGTCACCAATGGCACTGAGGACAGTGATCACTCACTTCTCAACCTGGAGGGAGCTCCCTCCTGACTCTAACTCCACTAGATGAAAGATTAGCATGGCCACCTCTGGACTTCCCAAGTCCAAGATCTTTTTTTTTTTTTTTTTTTTTTTTTTTAGATTTTATTTATTTATTTTTCCCCCAAAGCCCCAGTACACAGTTGTCTGTCATAGCTGCACATCCTTCTAGCTGCTGCATGTGGGACGCGGCCTCAGCATGGCTGGAGGAGCGGTGCCTCGGTGCGCACCCGGGATCCGAACCCGGGCCGCCGGCAGCGGAGCGCACGCACTTAACCGCTAAGCCACGGGGCCGGCCCCCCAAGTCCAAGATCTTTAGTTCTCCTACCACAAACACTTTTTCCTCTATTCCTTCACCCTGGCCTGGACCCGACTTCATTAGTTAAATGCTGTTTTTCCCAACACACTGAAATCTTTTGTCACTCTCAGCAGATGACCCTACCTCATAAAAAGAGCTGAGACCCTCTCAAGAACTCTCTCTCTCTCAGGGGCTTATGAGCTGTTCCCTCACTTTGATGTAGTCTTGCTCTGCTCCAAACTCACAAAAACATGTTTTCTGTAAAGACTGTCAGTCATTTGTATTCTTTTATCAATATTTTTTAGTCTTATAAGTTCCTGGAGGAGGAGGATGTAGGAGTCATACATGTAGGAGTAGGGAGGAAACACACTGGTGTTCACAAATATGCCTCACTTTACTAAAATTTAAAACTATATTTTAAATATAGTTTTAAAATATAGTTTAAAGTGTATATTTACTCATTTCCTGAATATCCAAAAGCTAATAGGGGAGGAAATTACGAAGAAAAAGGTTCTGGGATATGAGACACCTGGTCAGATTATTAGGTTTATCCACAATCAGATAACAAGCCCTGAGAGAGTCAATCTGCATCCCTGTGGTCTCCCCCTCCTTCTCTCCCCTCCATCTTTCACTTTCCACCCGTCTTTTCCCAACTTTGCCAGTATGTGTGCTGTGTTGTGTGTGTTTACTCATTTATCAACTCAATAAATATTTTTTGAGTGACTACTATGTGCCAGGTACTGTCCTACTTTAACTTGAACAATACAATATTTAACATTGCCTAATGAAAGAAAATTTTGTTTCGTAATTTAAACGCCATCCATGTGAATATGGATGAAAAAATTAATTTTCCAAACAGCAATTTTATGAGGATTAGATGGAAATTCGAGAACTAAATGATCATTTAACAGGCCTCCATTTTAGCCGGTATGTTATACTCCACACTCTACTTCAGATACATTACTTTTTAAAGGCTACCATCTACTCATCTTCAGATATATTAAAGGAAGAACTAAGTTGACTAGAGCAATTTCAAACCCAAAATGTCTTTTCATCCTTGCTCCACAAGACAAATTAGATTTGCAAGCATCCAGACCTGAAATCAATTTGCTCTTTAACAATTTAAGCACTGAAAGGGCAAGCAGCTCTTTTCTATTCCCATTATCAAAGTCCAAGCACTGAGGAAAAACAGACAAATCTTATCTGCTGCCCAACTGCCACACGTTGCTGTCTCCCTGATGGAAATTAACATGGTATTGGCACTAGGTCCACCATACCTCGACAGAACTTTA